GAGTTCCAGGAAAGGCGCAAAGCTACACAGAGAAACCCTGTCTCGAAAAACCAAAAAAAAAAAAAAAAAAAAAAACCATGACTCTAAGGTGCATGTGTGTGTGTCCTCTATTGTTATCCCTTGTTAACAAATCATGTTTATGCATTTGTGTTCTACAATTAAAGAAACAAAACCACAAGTTTTTTTTAAATATTTTCTAAAAATTATTATGTGTATGTATGATAACATGAGGGTTTATGCATGTGAGCACTGTACCCACAGAAGTCAGAAGAGGGGGTTATATTCCCTGAGGCTGGAGTTTGAGGTGGTTGGGAGCCTCCCTATATGCTTGGAACAGAACTCACATCCTTGCAAGAGCCCTAAGTGCCCTTAACTGCTGATCCACCTCTCTAGTACACACTAGTATTTTTGAGTGCTTCCTCTGTCTAATAGATCTGGCCATTGTGCAATTCATCTCGGAATCAGCACTGAAGAGTTTATGTATGCTACTTCCAGAATGGTTTAAAACAGCAATACCCAATAATTTGGCATATAGCTTTGGGTTTTCTGTTTTGGTCTTTTATTATTTGCGTGTGTGTGTGTGTGTGTGTGTGTGTGTGTGTGTGTGTGTGTGTGTGTACATTCTTGTGTGAGCGTGCATGCGTGTGTGCTTCTAGATATGCTACTAAATGTCTTCCTGCATTCAAAACAGTGAACAGGAGATGCATGCATTTGAGAAGTCATTTTTAAAAACTTATGTCCTTTTCTTATTATTTCTCTTTGTGTGTTTGTGTATGTATGTTCATATATGAGTTTTGTGCTCTGCACCTTGCAGTTGAATGTACTACCAACTATGTTAAACGCAGAGTAGTTTCAAAAGAATCAAGTTTCATGGCTAAGGTTTCCTAAGCATTCACCAAAATAAACAACCCAAATAAAACTTTTGTAATGTTACATATTTTTTTATCAATATTCAAATAATGATTTTGTTTTCATGGGGAAGAAAGGAGTGGATGAATTATCCAGGTCAGGAATCATTTATTTTTCCCCATTTCTCTCTATGCATCAATCGCTGTTTGTCTGTACCTGTCTGCCTGTCTGTACCCCACCCCCCCACACACACTTTCTCTTTCTCTCTTTCTTTCACAGGGTCTCTCTCTTGTAGCTCAGGCTGGCCTCAAACTCATTATGTAACCCAAACTGGCATTGAACTCTTGATCCTCCAGCCTCTATTTCCCAAGTGCTGGGATTATAGCAATGAGCCAAAGGGTTCAGTTTTGAATGGTGGGCTTTCTGGCTTCTAGTCAAGTTTCCTGCAAATTGATGTATTTAACTGCCTTTGCTTTCAGAGACTGGGTCTATGTCCTCAGCTCAATGATACAAGGTCTTCTAGATGACGAGACTGTCTGTCATCAAGCTTTTTAAATCCCATGCTATGCCTTAATAAAATGATAATGGAAACAAAATTAAATATCTTTATAAAATTCAGATGCAGTAGATAATAATATGCATAATAAATTTCTGAACATTAACGTTGAATCAGCATTAAATGTTCATATGCATAGTGTGAACTAACACATGCTTTTGCAGTTTAGTAGAAATAGTAATTCATGATTCAATTCCCTCCAGGTAGAACCTTAATTTAAACACACAGGGCCATTTTTGGTTAGAAATACAAATTAAAAATACGATAGACAAATCCTTTCTAGGAGCACAACTACCGAGTGTCAATCTCTTGAAGTATTAGTCTACATAACCTTTATTTGCTGATTGTCTTTAAATTATTTTTTCCAAGATAAAAATCTCATGTATCCCAGACTATCCTCAAACTCTGCAGCCAAAATAACCTTGAACTTCAGATTCCCCTGCCTCCATCTCTCAGGTACTAGAATGGGAGGCATGTGCTACCAACCTAGGTTGACTCAATATTGGGAATTGAACCCAGGACTTTATGCTTGTTGGGTAAGTACTCTGCCAACTAAGCTACATCCCAAGTCTCTTATTGAGTACAGCCTTAACTTGAAAAATCCCATCACAAATTAAATCTTGAAGCCAGAGAAAAGAAAGTTGTTCCTCCCCTTAAATTTATTCCATTCTGAGAAAAGGAGCTCTGTTAAAGTGCAGAGGAATCCTCTGGTTCAATGGCTTTGTTTTCCATTTTTCCTATGAAGAGATTAAACTATTATAAATAAAGAGGAAAGGATGAAGAAGGCTAGTCAAGTGTCAGAGAGTTTGATGGGATTTGAATTCTAGGTTAATAAACACCTTCATTTTGAGGAAAATTAAAATTCCTTTTGTAGAATCTGAAGGTCATATTCCATTTTATCTTGATTTGAAAGTTGAAGGTCAGATCAGAGATAATTAGTTGGAGCATTCCAGAGAAAAATAAACACCACTCACCTATCTCAAAATAGCCAGGATTATGCATAATAATTCTTATTTTCCCTGCTGATTCTGAAACCAAACCAGAAACAAAGTCTTTCAGGACTCAGGTACAAACTGGCAAATTATCTCTCATGCAAGTAATTTGGCTAAGACTTAGAGGAGGTAGAAGCAATACATCCTCAGATCTAACTGCAAACTGCTTCCTAGTAACTCAGGCAAGAGCCTCAAAGAGGAAGAAGACATCTCCTTTTATTAAGGGAGTTGAAGAAGGCATCCTGGTCTAAGATGCTGTAATACAATGCCACGAGCATGGTGACTGTTAGAAGAGGTCACAGTCTAATGTGAGTATTTCCAGGTCCTTAGCCCCTTAGCTCTAACTTCAAAATAAGAGCTAACATAGATTAAAAAAAGAAAGAAAGAAAAAGAAGAAAAAAAAAAACAAGACAATTTTATGTGGAACAAAGCAACAGTACAGATCAAAGAGATAACTGTCTTGACTGATTGACAGTGAACCACAGAAGGGAAGATACTCAAGAACCCAAGCAAGCTACAGCCTAAAGTCTCTTTGTATGGGGTCTGAGAGAAATAGGAGATGGTTTCCAAAGGACATAGTTTGGGTGGTTCTCTATTTTGAGTGATAGATTACATAATCATTTCTCTACTGTGTGTGTAGACCCTCATTTAAATTATGTGTGCTCCCAATTATACATAGGCATAAGATGATAAATAGTGGGTTCTCCACAGAAAGTTACTAGAGGACACAGTTTGGCTTTACCACACATGAACCGAACCCAATTCAGGCCCTTCTACTTTTTGTACTCAGATGTGTCGGGAATATACTTAAATAGAAACTATCTAAATTTGATTGCCACCAGGGATGGAGAAAGTTATATCATTGTTCAAAGATGGGAATATTTAGCAGTGGTTCTCAACCTGTGGGTCACAACTCCTTTGGGGTCAAACCACCCTTTCAAACTCATAACAGTAGCAAATTATACTTATGAAGTACCAACAAAAATAATTTTATGGTTGGGGTCACTACAACATGAGGAACTACATAAAAGGATCATAGCATTAGCAAGGTTGAGAACCATTAGCTTAGAGATAAATGCATATGTGGGTTTGATGGGCTCTGAGTTTGCTGGGTGCATTGTTTGGAGAAGGGTGAGTATGTATAATACGTGTTGGTGAAGGTACTAGGTTGCCAAGTGCATTATTATGGGGGAAGGGAGTATACAACTCAAGAACCTAATGGAGGTGCCAGGGTACCAAAATGCCTCCTTTACTTGCCTGCCTCAACAGAAACTTATATCCTCACAGTTCTAGATTGTTGACCTCTCGGGTCAAGTTGCTATCAGAGTTTATGTCTTCTCTTCCTCATAAGGCCTGTCTTCTGTTTACAAGAAGGAGAAGAGCCCTTTGGTGGATCCAAGTCCTATTGGATCAAGGCTTCATTTTTACAACCTCATTTAAACTTCATTTTGCTGCCTCCCCAAAGGCTTCACTTCCAGCTACAGCTAAGTAGGGGTGAGCGCCTCAGCTTGTGAATTTTGAGTCCTCATCAAAGCTAATCAAGAAACTGTTTTTTTCTTCTAATGCACTCTTATCTGAAAGCTTCCTCTGTGACACAGATCTAATTACAGGTGTCCAATTTATAAACAGCTCTGTGAGAGGTAAACAGGGGCAACAGTCTCCTGTGATCCCAGCTACTACATTCACTGATGATCAATGAGACTCTCAGATTCCAGCTGTGGAACTATACCACTGGGTCTCGGAGCCATTAAGGAAAACAAGAAGCAGCATGTTCTGGGCTCTGTTATATTTGCAATTATTCCTCAACCACTGTCCTGTAACATAACATTCAGATGCAAGTTCACTGGTAGAAGCATTTGCTAAGCACAGAAGTACTTTCTTAAATGAATTTAAAAAATCATTTATACACACACACACACACACACACACACACACACACACACACACACACACGTTTCGTCTGCATGTACATCTGTGCACCACTTGCATGCCTGGTGTCCACAGAGGCCAGAATAGAGTATTGGATCCTCTAGAGCTAGAGTTACAGTCAGTTGAAAGCTGTCATACATGGCTGGGAATTGAACCTGGATTCTCTGGAAGAGCAGTGATACTTTTAACCACTGAGTAACCTCTCCAGCCCCAGAAGTCTTTTTTTTTTAAAAAAGAAATTTCCATGAATTTCCAGAAACTAAAAATATTAGGAGCTTTCTGTCAAGAATCCAAGAGCAGTAAGGAATCATTTATGAAAGGTTTTGTTGAAGGCTCGGCATGAAGCTCCATGGAATGCTTGCCTAACATTTACGACGCCCTTTCTTGTTATCCCCAGCAAAGCACAGACCAGGCATCATAGCACTGTAATCTCAGCAGTTGGGAGGTGAAGGCAAAGGGCTTCAAAGTACAAGGTCGTCATGGGCTGCATAGTGAGTTTGAGGCCATTCTGCACTACATAGGAACCTGTCTCAACAAACAAAACTCCCGTTGCCATGCATGAAGACATACTCTTTACAATCCCAGCATTTAGGCGGTTGAGGACAGCCTAGGCTACATAGTGAATCTGAGGCAAGCCTGAGTTACAAAACAAGACTGTCACAAAACAACAACAATAAAGAAAACAAGACTAGTTAATTAGCGCTTGGATTGACCTCCGGTAAAAGGACCCCTGCCTTACAGGCTCATAGCCTTTCCAGTCTTGTTAGCAGACAGTTCTAGGACCCAGCTGCAGAAGTCTGCAGAGTGGTTGGCTAATGTTCTGGAATGTAGCCTGTGGCCGGTCCATGAATTTTCCCTCTGAGCAAACAAGCTGGCTCTAGAGGTAATCACACATACTCACTTATTCCCATTAGCAACCCCAAACAAGCAAGTGGCTTTAGCCAAACAGCAGGAAGGACGGTTATTTTTGAATGTGCCCTGTCTAATATGCTTTACAATTTGTGGTTTCTCAATAACAAGAATCATACAACTATTAGAATTATAGGAGAATTCAGAAGCAGACATACCAAGCAGGGAGAGAGTTAAGGAAGAGTAATGAGTGCATTAGAAATGAATGAAAGTGGGAATTCTTATTTATAGTTCTAGTCCCACTTTTAGAAAGTGCTATTGGAATGGAGTTTAGGCTCAGTATGGCGATATGACTTGAATCTCAGAGCTGTAGAGGAGGGCAGAGGCAGACAGATCTCTGTGAGTTTCAGCCTTGGTCAGTGTGGGGCGTTCTAGGGCAGCCAGATCTACAGAGTGAGACCCTGTTTCAAAAGAACAAAACAAAACAAACAATAACAACAGACATTGAGTTCAGAAGGAAACTAGCTGTGACTTTTGATAATTATCAGAGGAACTGATTAGATATTTTTCTCTCAACATGTTTGTCTTCCTGTATTTTTTTTTAAATAAATATGTTCCCAACTAGCCTTGAGGAATGTAGCCTGATCAGTACCCAGGGGAATACAGCAAGTCACAGCAAGTCAGGGAGGCAGAATTTTCCTGATTTCCCATAATGTCCTTGTGGGGGCTGCAGTGAAGATAGACTGTCTCTTTCCCATGTAGGCACCTCCTGCTGAGTCAGTCTGTTAACACAACATAGCTGAAAAGTCCACAGCCTTGTGTGCTTCTACCCTCTCCGGATACCAACGGTGAGTGCACCTCCAGCTCGACCCTTCTGAGCTTCCTCCAGCACAGCCTTCTTGGTCTACATTCATCCTCCATGTGACCTGGTTTTAGAGAAAACACAGTTGAGACTCTCAGATAAACACATTGCAGGTTAGCAATTACAGTATTGCCAAATAAGTGCTGCTTTTTAAAAACAATAATAAGGAAACTTACATTGCTGCCATACCTCACTAACTGGGGGATTTTTCAGTCATCAGGACACATGCTTATACAACACAGCCATTTCTTCTGAGGGCTCTCTGAAGTCAGCAGTTCTCACAAATTGAGGGAGCTACCTCTTAATACATAGAATTATTTAATAATTAAGTTTTACTTTTCAACATACCAAACTACTGACAGGCCACCGTGATAGTCAATCAAGCTTAAAAAAGACACAGCTAGTCAATTGAGGGAAGTATTTCCTTGTGAGAGTCATTTCTTGGACAACTCCTTTCATCTGGAAACCAGGAAGTGAGTCAGCTTTACTAACTTCAATCTCCTGGTTGGTGTTTTGTTATTCATCCGGACTAAGGACATTTTTTTTCCTCCCCACAGAACCTGGTATGACCAAGCAGGCAGGTCACTTGTTGAAATCTCCGCTTCAAAACATCTACAGGTTCTGTTGTCAAGGATCTTAACAGCCTCTGCTTGGAAAGGTGCCTGGCTGGTCACAAGACTATGACTCATCGGCGTTAGCTAAACACAAAACCCAGCTGACAAAATCCATGACGTCATTCCTTTTCTATGTGTCTTTAACATAGTTTAGATACAGAAGTCCTTGGATAATATGCAAAGCTTTCAAATAAGAACATGTCTGGAATACTTAAGAGAAAAAACACCCTGTTATATCTGAGTAACAAAGGCAATGCAGGCTCCAGGATTCTGGGCTTGTGGTACTTGCTGATACAAAGTACTCCACCAAGTTTTACAGTGTATAAACTAGTCACTAGGGCTGGTTAAAGTTTAACTCAACTGAAATATTTCGGACTTGAGTAACTTCTGAAGAATGCCCAGTTTGGTAGTACTGAAAAAATCAACAACTCCCAAGAACTATTTCCTTGAGACCCACCAAAATAATGAGCAGAAGAATTTTAAAAGTTTTTCAAAATCAAGAGAAAATATTGAAGTTGTGTGTGTGTGTGTGTGTGTGTGTGTGTGTGTGTGTGTATGTGTGTGTGTGTGAAATGTGACCATCAGTAATTTCCCACCTTCTTTTTGGTCTCTTATATTTATTTAAGAACAAATATTACTTTTACAGTGAATAACAGCAAAAATGAAGTGTCAAAACACAATCTAATTTTTCTGTTGTGTTTTGATCCATAAAGAGGAAAATATAAAAAGGAAAATGGATCAAGTCACCTGACCTTACCTCTATGTTAAAACATAATGTCAGGAAGACAGCACAACAGGGTGAGATCATTTGTTTTCCTAACCAGCTACTGGTCCTGAAAGAGTATGAAGGAGCCCCCCTTAGCCAGTAACACAGATAGCAATCTGCCCTGAGAAACCTAATCACTCATTTTAGCAAAAAGCCAGCCAATAATAAATGAAGGATCGGTAATTAATTATGCTGACCTTACTGTTCCTCTGGGTAGATTTACTGGGAAGGGGGATGGTGGTGCAAGGCAGGAGTGTCTCATTTGGGAAAGGTTTAAGCTCATGTGATGAAGTGATGTTGCTTTCAAATTGAGCAAATCATTGTTTAACTTCCTTTTTCCAGTCCAGCCTCTCTTCACTTCTGGGAAATCTTAAGAAAACACAGAAGCATTGTCGAACTCAAAAGTGGAAGTCGAGGATTTGAAATGTGATGGTACATCCTGTTCCCCCCACAACCCTCCCACCCCCGAAGAAGCAGCAGGATTAGAAGAAACTTCTTCTGTACTCATTGTAACTTCATTTTCCCTTAAATCTCATTTTAAAAATCTGTCTGCCATTCAAGATTATTTTTTCCAGACTCCTTTATATTAAGGCTACCATAGAACAGCAGTGCTCCCCCTTTCCAGCAACACAAATAGTTTTGAATACTCTGGCCTCTGCAGTGTGTGTGTGTGTGTGTGTGTGTGTGTGTGTGTGTGTGTGTGTGTGTTCAGATATAACATTTGTGCTTACATGTGGAGGATAGAGGACAACTTCAGGTTTGGTTTCCCAGGCATTACACATCTTTGAGACCTTTGAGACAGTTTCTCAATGGGTCCTGGACCTGTCATTTAGGCTAGGCTGGCTGACCAGCAAGACCCAGGGATCATCATTGCTCTCTCTCTCCAGCACTGGGCTTATAAGAGTGGACCACCATGCTTGGCACTTTTTGTGGATTTTGGGAATCAAAATGAGGTCCCCATGCTTGTATGGCAAGCATAGACTGAGGTACCTCCCAGGACCCAGCCTCCTCTTCTTATGCTGGTCCTGCTCCATCATATAGGTGATCCATCCTGTTCTTATTCTTCCAAATTCCATTGTGTGCACAAAATGTTTTCCCCTATGAAGACTTCTTTGTCAAAATTTACTCAAACACAAGTACTCAAGACTTACTACACCGTTCCTAAGTGTTGGTTATGCTGTGGCGCTGCTCATCGTGGCTGGCTGCCGCCTGCGGTGGCCATGCCGGTGGAGGAGAATGCTGATTGGAAGAATCACAGCCATGGTTACCTTTTTAGAGCTTTATTGGGGGGGGGGGAAGGGAGAGACAGAGAGGGAGAGGGAGAGGGAGAGGGAGAGGGAGAGGGAGAGGGAGAGAGGAGGGCTGACGGAAGGAAGGAGAGGAAAGGAAAGAGAGGGACTCACAGAGGGCCCACCACTTTTTAGACTGGGACGCTGTCGCAGGCTGATGACATAATTAGGGACAGAATCCTTACACTATGTACATTAACAACACAAGGCATGCAATAGCTCTTTGGACAATTAAAAAATGAGTAGCCTAGAATGTGGAGGCAAGAGGATCCTCCTAGAGGCCAAGGGGCTTAAACAGAGTTATTCAGCTTCTTTGTTCAGATATATATTTTTTCGGACTCAAAATGTGATTAAAAATCAGACAAGTTACTTTTTTAGATTAGTAATGTATGTATGTATAGATAGATAGATAGATAGATAGATAGATAGATAGATAGATAGATAGATAGATGGATGGATGGATAGATAGATAGATATGAAGCTTCTTAAAAAGCATATAGATTAGATCACATATCCATTTATTTAATAGCTTTCTTCCACCAAATGGTGTAAACTCAGTCATTATTCTCAAGGAAACAAAACTCCTGGCAGTCATGTCCACCGGTCAAACTGGGTGGGCAAGAAAGGAGATGTGGCAATTACCAGGGAAGAACAGCACTTTTTTCTGATTGTATTGTCCTTCAGCAAAACCATTCCACAAACAATTATAACTGACACACATTCCACGTTTCAAAGAAACTGCTATCTCCTCCAGGGCCACTTCACAGAAGTCTTTTATTTCATGTGTGTTAATATTTTAGTTACTAACCATTATGTGTATGTGTAAGGTATCAGTATCTTGCTCTTGTGTTGTTTTTGGTGGTTCTCTTTTGCTTGTCTTCCAGAGAGGTTTTTACCATGTAGTCCTGGCTAGCCTAAAATCTACTATGTAGTTCTTGTTGGTCTCAAGCTTAAAGGCTCCTCCTGCCTCTTCCCCCTCAGTGGTTGAATTAGAGGCGTGCAACACCATGCTCATCTCCATATCTTGCTTTTAAGTGGGATTCCATGTCAAATTCTCAATGGATGTGGCATGTGGGTTATATGTATAAGAGAATAAGTTACAGGCTTTTAAAAACTGTGGAGTTAAAAAGTCAGGATAACTGTCATTCTCTGTTTTAAGAAAAAACTTTCTGCCATTGTGAGTACTGAGACACAGTTAAATATCACACAATCATTCCTTCGATAAATTTAGGATGTGTGATGATCATTGATCCCCTTTCAAACATCTCAATATCTATCAAAAGGGCTCAGAGGCAAGGATCCAGTTCCAAGGCTAATTTTTCTTGGATCATTCCTATTCTAAACTGTAGCCTTTTACTCTGAAAAAGACTCAAAGTTGATTGTTTTCTGAAGTACACAGATCCCATCTAACCAAGTCCTAAGAGTTCTGTGTAAATTAGAACCTATACTAAAACAATAATGAAGGTGAGAAGCAACTAATGTCAAGTAGCCACTCCTCAGCAATATATGCATTCGTGCACATTTGTGAATCACTCAATAGTTGTACAAAGTTAATTCAGAGCTTAGGCTTTTTTTCCCTTCACCTTCTTATGACCACAGTTCTTAGCAGGATTTTAAAGTGTAAATGCTATTAAGTGCATGAGGGGAAATGCACCATAGACCCAAGAACATCCATGAAACAAACACAATACATACTGAGACTTATGAATCCTCAGATCCTTAACTCAAGCTAGACAATGTTATATTCCATTTTTAAAACATTTTGATAAGGAGACATTTGATGTTTTATCATTTCCAGTCTAAATCTAACTAGGAAAGCAATGCATTGCTGGATAATTTGGGTATCATTATGAGTATCAAAACAGTGCACTCCGGGATAGAAGGAGAGCTTAGAGGTCAAGAGCACTTGCTACCCTTGCAAAGGACCATCTGTTCCTAGCACCACATCAAGCACTTCATGGTAACCTGTAGCTCCAGTCCCAAGGGATCTGATTCCCACCTCTGGCTTCCTGCATACTTGCAAACAAGCGGTGAACAGACAGACAAGAAGGTACATAAATATGCACACAGAAATTTTGAATTGAGCAAAAAATTTAAAAAACACTGCAGTCTTCCATACTCTAGGCATAGCTCTAAACATTGGCTCTCTTTGCTGTAAAAAGAATGGTAGTTGATCTGTGTAGGCCACTTAACCTGAGATGTAAATTCATGGTAAATAATGAAGGTGAAAGTGGGTACTGAGAAATAACAGGGACACACGCATCCAAATTCCCATGTTCAAAACTATAATCAACATTTTAAAAAAGTGTTAATAAATAACTTATACAATACTTACAGATAATCAGTTCATACATACTCTGATAAAATGATTCATGGAAGAGCCTGATTGATATAGAGTAATCCATCTGTGAGGATATTTCAAGACTCTTGAGTATACATATTAAGCCACTGATAGTAAAGAACCATATACATACATACAAACACACACACACACACACACACATATATATATATATACACATGATGTAAACCCCTATATATCATATAAATAAAATTAAAATATGCATGATGGCTATTCTTGGTTGTCTACTTGACTGAATCTGGAATTAACTAAAACTTAAATGTCTGGGCACACCTGTAAGGGAATTTTTTTTTTCTTTTTTTTTTTTTTTTTTTTTTTTT